GAGATCATGAATTCAGCAGTGGTGATATTGATTCCAAATGCTGAAGAACGGAACAAAAACTCCATTCCTTAGTTTCACCAGTTCTGACTTTCACGGCTAAGACCCACCAAGCTACGCATATTGTAGCGAACCAGCTTCATTCCCTTCGTATTCCATTGGTTCTACTCGAGCAGCTTCTTCTAACGAATCGCTGATATGGGATTCAGAATAGATAGATAGATAGATAGATAGATAGATAGATAGATAGATAGATAGGCAGACAGACAGGTCTTATAGGTAGATAGATATTAACAGAATAGAATAGATAGATAGATAGATAGATAGATAGATAGATCATATAGGTAGATAGATATTAACAGAAAAGATAGATAGATAGATAGGCAGACAGACAGGTCATTTAGATAGATAGATATTAACAGAATAGATAGATAGATAGATAGATAGATAGATAGGCAGGTCATATAGGTAGATAGATATTAACAGAATAGATAGATAGATAGATAGATAGATAGATAGATAGATAGATAGATAGATAGATCATATAGGTAGATCATATAGGTAGATAGATATTAACAGAAAAGATAGATAGTTAGATACATAGGCAGGCAGGTCATATAGGTAGATAGATATTAACAGAATAGATAGATAGATAGATAGATAGATAGATAGATAGATAGATAGATATTAACAGAAAAGATAGATAGTTAGTTACATAGGCAGGCAGGTGATAGAGATAGATAGATAGATAGATAGATAGATAGATAGATAGATAGATAGATAGATAGATAGAATGGCAGACAGGCAGGCAGGCAGTCCAGATAGATAGGCAGACAGACAGACCATATAGGTAGATAGATACCAACAGAAAAAGTCACTCACTACTCTATCGCTATTTCTATGGAAAGTGCTCAAACAAACTACATTCCCTAGTCCCATTAATTCTAATTACCACGATTAAACTCGCCATTTCCTGCAAATCAATCTTATTCCCTTCCTATTCCATTAGTGAAATGTAAGTTCTACTCGAGCAGCTTTTTTCCACGAACCCCCGATTTGTGGAACCGACTCCCAAGAGGTTCCTTCCCCGACCATTACAATCTCAACCTGTTCAAGTCTAGAGTTAAACGATATCTTCCCCACATATCCTAATAATCTGTAAACCTTTACCTAAAATGGCTCTTGGGCGTTGTACAGGGTGAATACCGAGTATTGTGAGGCTGTGACCCGATACTCCACAGAGGCGGGGGTCCGTAAATTTAATGTTTATATACGCTCAATATTTATAATATTTCCCAACCCACCAACTCCCTACATAATATTAATTTATTTTCCTAATCGTAGATTGCATCTCTATAAATAATAAACAAAATGGTTTTTATAGGTTACACACCAACCACCCTTTCATGCAGATTCACTTGCTAAAGTGGAATTAGACAACACATTAACAAGTACCAAACGAACTCTTAGGTTGGTGCAAAAATAATGACGTAAGAATGTCGTTTTTGACGTTAAAAATACGTCAAAAACGACATTATTTCGTCATTATTTTTGCAATCTATATATTAGGTTGGTGCAAAATAATGACGTAATAATGTCGTTTTTGACGTTAAAAAATACGTCAAAAAACGACATTTTTACGCCATTATTTTTGCACCAACCTAATAATAATATTAGTCAGCTTCTCTCTAAAAATGCAAACATAATTTATATTCGAACTATTTTCCTCGTCGCCGTTGTTTTTATCACAATGTTTCGACCGTTCCGTCCTCCGGCCGTCTTAAGGTGTATATCGATCTGGAAGGAATAGAACAGTTTATTTCGTCTACGGAGCTAGACTTTTCCCGTTCCACTGTCAATGTGTAGGGATATCTCGTCAAGTTTTTATATTTAGTATTGCACAGCTATTGCTCGTCCGTTTCTACAAAGTACAAGTACACACTGCCCGGCCCAGGGCTTGAACTCTCAATCCCGCTGTCACCAAATTCAGGAATTAACACTTTAATCTACTAGATCATTGTCACGTACGGTGACGTCACTGAGATTATGACAGTCAATGAAGACTACAAAAGTGAATTGCCTTATTGAGAGAAAGGTGTATAGATAGATAGATCAGAACAGAAAAGATAGATAGATGGATAGATAGACAGACAGACATACAGGCCATATAGGTAGATAAATATGAACAGAATAGATAGATAGATAGATAGATAGATAGATAGATAGATAGATAGAATAGGAAGCTCGGAGAATAACAACAAACAAAACGTTATAACAACAAGAATACACACGTCTTAAAGCTTTTGAATGGATGGATGACAACAAAAATGGTAGTCAAAAGTTATCTAATGTAATCTAATCTAATCTATCTATCTACCTATCGTCTCTATGTCTGTTCATATCTATCTATCTATCTATCTATCTATGTATCTCAGTCTGCTCATTACCTATCTATCTATCTGTCTATCTATCTCAATCTGTTCATATCTATCTATCTATCTATCTATTCATATCTATCTATCTCAATCTATTCACATGTATCTATCTCAATCTACTCACATCTATCTATCTATCTATCTCAATCTATACACATCTATCTATCTATCTATCTCAATCTATTCATATCTATCTCAATCTATTCACATGTATCTATCTCAATCTATTCACATCTATCTATCTATCTATCTATCTATCTGTCTACTTATCTATCTATGTTTTCGGCTCAAATGTTATTTTGAAGCAACAAAAGTGGTGATGATATACAAAGTCTTGTCAAAGTCTCCTCAGCAAAAACCAATTTTTCTATTGAATCTGTCGCACTTACACTGTCGTCCCTATTGAATCCGCAAAGATTCTGAAGGAACAATCATAAAATCAAGATATGCACTTAAGCCCTATTTGTGTCTAAAATTATCATCATTGAAATAATCCGATCCTTCTCAGACGTACATCATATATATTCGTACTTAATGGCGAAAGCTTTTCAAATTTCCAACCATGAAATTAAATTATTTTATTTGGTACGAACCTCGAGGGAAAGATCGCCAAGCTAACTCAGGATTCCATTGTTGTCTTTCATCAAATTGAAATGGTCATTAAAGATTCCGATTTAGTGTTTATGCGGGAGACCGTCTGTGTCAATACTACTTTGCACTTTCTTGTCTGCGATAATGTCGCTGAACCTTTTGTACTTTAGCCAAGATTGTTGCAAGGATGCAGCTGACAGAATGACATAGGCATTGATGACTTCTGATGTGGATTACCTTACTTAAGACAAATGTGCATCCACGTATAAGCAGTTGATAGATAGATAGATAGATAGATAGATAGATATGAACAGATAGATATATCTCAGCAGAAAAATAGACATATAGATAGATATGAACAAAAAAGTTAGATAGATCTGAGCAGAAAAATATATATGAACAAAAAATATATATATATATATATATATATATATATATATATATATATATATATAATTAAACCTACTTTTTCCCTTTGGTATTGGTTTGTTTATTTACAAATCAATGCACCTAAAAGTTTTCCGGACGAGTATAATTTCTTATATTTATAAGATTACTACTATATATATATATATATATATATATATATATATATATATATATATATATATATATGTAGAGATAGAGAGAGAGAGAGACAGACAGACAGACAGATGATACTAGTGGTAAACATACACATACATATGCAAATTATATAAAATATATACATACATGCATACACATAAATATATATTTTGTATAAAAACATTTCCAAGAGGATAGAATCCAGGTAGAACTCAATGTCCAGGACAGAGTAAGGATATAATAAAAAGGCTTAAACACTAATATTCCTTAGTCAGAATTTATTCCATTAGAATCGTAAATACGATCCAATTCAACAGACCTACAAATTCAAATTGAAGATGTAACCGGAAACTCTAAAAACTCTCTCTGTTAAATTTGAATCCCCCTCCTTCTCTCGTCTGTTACCCCTCTCTTTAGCTCTAACATTCGTCCCACACACTCATACTTACACTCTCTCTAAATTTTATTTTTTATTTCCGGAGTTGTTTTTTTCTGTTTTCTTTTTGAATTTGTAGGTCTGATGAATTGGATCGTATTTACGATTCCAATGGAATAAATTATGACCATGGAATATTAGTGTTTAAGCCTTTTTATTATATATATATATATATATATATATATATATATATATATATATATATATATATACATATATATATATGAAGAGAAAAGATAGATAGATAGATAGATAGATAGATAGATAGATAGATAGATAGATATGAGCATAAAAGATAGATATGAACAGAAACGTTAGGTATATAAATTAACATACAGATATGTAGACTGATATGAACAGAAAAGCGAGCTGGATAGATAAATAGATGAAGAATTTGAGATAGCCAAACATATAAGAGCAAGATGAAATAAATAATATCGAAGAGACACCCACATATACAGGCAGACACAAAACACACACACACACACACACACACACACACACACATATATATATATATATATATATAATATATATATATATATATACATGTGAGTGTCTGTGTGTGAAGATGATAAGACAAAATGAAAAATATTATTAAAGACGCGTTTCGCCAGAGAAACATATCATTGGCTTCTTCATTTTAAGTGAAAGAAATACAAAACTGGCGGGCAGACACTTCCCAAGTCTGAAAGTTAGCAGGTGATAAACTAATGTAATTAACTTGATTTATGATACCCATTTACCCTGGAAGAGCCCAAAACATTTTCCTCGCGTGCAGTTTTCTCATTCTTTCATTTAAACTAAAGAATCCAAAGTTTGCATACTCTTCTTCTGCGAAACACGCCATTAATAAAATTTTCCATTTTCTCACTCTCATATATATACATATATATATATTGGTTTTAGTAAATCCAACAATATTTCTCATTACTATATGATGCCACAAGATTTATGGCCACTGTATATATGTTTAGGTAGGAATGGTTATGTACTAGGAACTAGAAAGACAATTCATCGTCTAGGTGTATGATATATACACAAAGCTAACTGTCATGGCTCCTTACCTATAACTACAGAATGAACTCTTCCTAACACTATGTATACTACGCATCTCAAGAGAGAGGGACGAATCAGGCCGAGCTTCTCGGCTTGACGGTCGAACTTTCTGCCTCTGAGCAGAAAGGAACCCGGACGAGGTTCCGCCGAAGGGCAGAATCTCGTTCGGGGAAAATGTCCAACCCGATCTCGTTTTTACGGGTTATACGGGCATTTTTTGGCCGAGACTACGGGCTCGGGAAACCCACGTAAAAACTCGGCCTTGTGCCATATGCAACCCTCGTGGGGGGGTGCTAGATACCGAATCGAGCCGAGCTTCTCGGCTTGACGGTCGAACTCTCTGCTGCTGAGCAGAGAGGAACCGGACGAGGCTCCGCCGAAGGGCAGAGTCTCGTTCGGGGAGGTTGACCAACCCGATCCCGTTTATACTGGTTCTACGCGCATTTTTTGGCCGAGACTACGGGCTCGGGAAACCGACGTTAAACTCGGCCTTGTGTCACATGCAACCCTCGTGAGGGGGTGGCTAGATACCGAATTGAGTCGAGCCGATAGTAGTTCACTCCAAACCAGACTGATAGTCATACTAACACCTTCCACATCTTGTATTATTATTTCATGTAATATACCTTCGTTATTTCTACTCTTGTGTTCGTGTTGTTCTTCCTTGGTCCTAATCTGGACCATAACAGTGGCGATGAGGTTATTGAAGAAACGAATTCTACGCGGAGGATATATAAAAAGAAAAAAAAAAACTTTTTACTATCGGTCGTCCATAACAGAGGCGACGGAGATATAGAGGAAAAAAATAAGATAAAAGAAAAAAAACTTTTTGGACACCAATCATAACAGTGGTAACGAAGACACAAATTTTACCTGTCAGCCAGAATCGAATTCTACGCAGGAAAATTTTTTCGTATCCAAGTTCCAGAACAACAGACGACAAAGACCTGAAGTCTACACTGAAAAAAAAGGAAAGTACACAACTCTAGCTAGAAAGTGCATATTGCGAAAAGAAAAAGTAAGGAGAAAAAGTGAGTTTTTTTCCCTCCTCTTCTCGTGACAACAGATAGCCTGAGTTGTTATTAAATTACGGTGTAAACATGGAAGACTTTAAGGCAACCATATTGGAACTAATGAAAATGCAATTCGAGCAGCAAAAAAAATGAGGAAAGACAGACTAGGCTCGATGAAAAACAATTAGAAATTCAACAGAAAAACGAAGAAAAACTATTGGAGATTCCACAGAAAAACGAAGAAAAGCAACTCGAACTACAAGAATTACTACTACGAGCAGTAAAGGACAAAATTCTGAAAATGAAACAGCATTCTCGCAAAATGCTATATGGAGCTCAATCAAAGACTTCACTTATGCACCGGACGAAGACAAAACCTTCGCGGCTTACTTCAAAAGATATGAAGATTCATATGAGTTTGATTGCGGTAATTGGTCAGACGCGAAAAAAGTACGTCTACTACTGAGGAAACTAGGGTCAAGCGAATACACTAAATTCGTAGACTACATCCTACCGAGGAAAACGAATGAGTTGACTTTCAAGGAAGCCGTGACACTTTTAAAGGAATTATTTTGTTCAAACACTTCACTATTCCACAAAAGGTGGAAATGTTTAAATTTAACAAAAAAGGATAACGAAGACTATATAACATTCGGTTCCGTAGTAAACAAACACTGCGATGACTTTAAGTTATCTGAACTCAGGCCTGACAATTTTAAAAGTTTGATATTCGTTGGTTTAGACTAAAGATGCGGAGATCAGACGGAGAATTCTAACAAAACTGGAGAGCAAACCAAAACTGACGCTACAAAAATTGGCGGACTGTCAGAGATGTATAAGCGTTAAAAAGGACTCGATAGATATCGAAGGGACTGGCATCGCTCATATACGAAAAATACAACGACAAACACGATTTTCTCCCTCCTCAAAAACAAACCAAAACAATTATTTTACTACAAAAAGTCAAATGAAACCTCAGAAGAAACCACCACCCAGTCCATGCTATCGCTGTGGGACTTTACATTGGTACAAATATTGTCCATATCGCTATAAGACTTGTCTGTCGTTCAATAAGTTGGGACATAAAAGTTCGCACTGTAGAACGAACAAAGGAAACCAAAGGCGAGTAAGAGTCACTAGAACTGACCAAGCGGACGGGATAAATATACGAAAATACGTACAAGTAGAAATGTTAAACAAAAAAATCAGATTACATTTAGATTCCGGATCAGATTTAACCATTATTAACTTACAGACGTGGAAGAAATTAAACAAACCGACCATTTTGAGAACAGATAAAATCGCCAGGTCGGTAACAGGAAGAAAAATCAAATTTGAGGGGGAGATTATCACAAATGTGACGTTCAACGGGATGACCAATAAATTAAAGATGTATGTTCTAAAAAATACGGAAAATTTATTTGGAACTGACTGGATGCAGAAATTTGATCTCTGGGATTTGCCGATAAAAACGTTCTGCCAAAAAGTGGAAAGGTTATCGACCGAGGCAGAGAAATTGAAGGAGAAATTAAAGGAGAGTTTCCCCGACGTATTTTCAGCCGGCCTCGGGAGGTGTCAAATTGACGGCCAAAATCGAACTAAAAGAAAATGTACAACCCATTTTCAAGAAGAAAAGAAATGTACCTTTCGCATCATTAGAAAAGATAGACGAAGAGTTGAATAGACTCATGAAAACCGGTATATTGACAAAGGTGGAATATAGTCAATGGGCCGCACCTACAG